TCTAAGTAGAAGACTTAATGGCTCCTTGAACAGTGTCAATGTCAATATCACAGTTGTGTACATCATAAGGAGTTTGCCTTTTTGTTCTTGAACCTCTCAAGCATACAAGGGCAGAACGCAGAATAATAATAATAATAATAATAATAACAATAACCGTTTATTCATTTATTTATATAGCGCTATTTCCAAAACCTTGCCCTTTACAAAAGCACTAAGCACTACAAAAAGGAAATCTCACCGCCTTACAATATTGCAAAATTTAATGAAACGGCTAATAATTTATAATTGAAACTAAGCTAAATTATAGAGCGGACTAAGTATTATTAATAATTTGGTGTAAATAACTAATGTAATATATGTATAACTACTTATGAAAGCTAGAACCATAGAAAGGATTGATATAAGATTGTTTGATTCAGTTGTATCCATATTCATATGTCTTCTCATACGCAACCGTTAAACAAAGAAATGATACTCTAGTAAATGAAAAGTACTCTCAAACGGAAAACCTGTCAAAAATAAAAGGGTCTATTATTTTCATTGTTAACTTCTTTGTGACTTCCCAGGTGTAAATGTTGTCAATAAGGCCAACAAAAGAAACTACGAAAAGGATTTTGGTAGTTGTAGTATCAAGACGTAATATTTATGGGATTAATAGTATACTTAATAATATTCTGGATTATACTTATATTTCCGAATTTCTCCCAGGTCTGGAAGTGTTAGTCAATGGCAGTGTAATAGACCACTCCACTTTGACCAATACAACTACTCGTTACAATGGCTCCGTTGCTTTATCTCGACCTGACAAGGCCTCCATCACTGTACTCTTCCCTTGTGGGATTTCAGTCAAGATGACTGACGTCAAAGGCTCATTGGCCATCCTTCTTGCTGCTCCAGAGAGATTTAAGAACAAAACTCGTGGTTTGCTAGGTGTTTGGAATGATTATCCTGAAGATGACTTGACAACACCGACCGGTCGTGTCCTACCGACCAATGCCAAGGGCAGAACCATACACTATGAATTTGGACAATTATGTAAGTCTGCCGCGGCTCTTTTTCATGGGTGCAAGTAAATAATTGATGATCTACATTTAGAATATATGATCGAGGACTTTGACTTTTTTAAATTTAGAGCAAGTAACGGAACTAAAGTCGTTGTTTACAAATTCATTTCCACTTTCTGTAATTTCCAGGGCAAGTGACAGAAAGCACTTCACTCTTCACCTACAAGGAAGGAGAAAGCGTCAACACGTTTTCTAATTCTTCTTTTGAGCCAATGTTTATAGAGGAGTATAACTTTACCAGCGATGCTGTAAAACAAGAAGCTCTAGAGAAATGTGAAGGAGACGTGAACTGCCTGTTCGACGCAGCCTTGACTAATGATGTTACCATGGGAACGAGTACAAAGATAGTCGGTTCAAATTTCAAGAACGAGTCCGAGGCAATGAGTAAGTTGTTTTCTTTTTCTTTTCATTTGTCCATCCATCCATCCATCCATCCCTCCCTCCCCCCCTCCCCTTCTCCCTCCCTCCCTCCCTCCCTCCATCCATCCATCCATCCATCCATCCATCCATTTACTCATGGCACTCATCTATTTATTCACCCATTCATTTTTTTCCCCCATTCATCCAGAAAACAAGGTGCCTATCTTTGTGAACCACTCTTCGTTCATCAATGTGACTGTCAACACAACTGCTCGCATAGAGATCTTTGCTAAGGATGACGACGGTGATCCACTCACTTTTTATGTCAGCGGTGTACTTCCTGAGACTCTGGATAACACAACCTCTAATAATAGCATTGTTGTCTCTTGGAAGGTTACAATGGACAAGGTATTTATTTCTTTTTTTTAATTTGATAAAGAATTGATCAACTTTTGCATTTTTTTCTTTTGTTTTTCACTCGCCTTCGTTGTCAATTCTTCTTTATACACCGTAAACAGTAACTGACGACTCTTAAAACTCCAGTGTATGTGGGCTTAGACTCGAATCCAGGAGTTGCTTGTTTTGTTTTCATTCTAATTTCTGCTTTTGTTTACCGACCTCAGAACTGAGGCTAAGCTCGCATACACTGGAGTTTTAAGAGTCGTCAATTGCTATTTAAAAATAATAGTGTGCCAACCTGTAAAAATGCTTCTTCTTCTTTTCCTCTTTCTCCTCCCCACTCCTTTCTACTCTATTTCTTCCCTCGTCTTTCCTTCTCCTCCTCTTCCAATCTCTTTCTTCTATTCCACCTTCTCCCTCTTCCTTTCTCTTTTCTCCTCTTCCTCCTCACTTCATTCATTCTCTCCCACTTAACTTTACCCGCTCGTTATCACAACATGGCCGTCATTTCGTGTTGCACTCACCTACATAATAATATTTGTACTTTTATCAAAACTTAAAAGATTCAATTGGAGTTCACTGTGATGGACGACAAAGGCGCCGCAGCTTTATGGAGACCAAAAGTATACGTTTGCGCATGTCACAATGGTGGATACTGCTCTCCAGATTCCAGTAACAACATTTTTGCAGACTCAACCAACGACACATTCCTCATTATGCCGTGCAATTGTATCCATGGTTACACGGGAAGATTCTGTGAGAATGACCTCGATGCATGTCAAGCGAATCTTAACCCATGCTACCCGGGTGTCAAATGTACTGACCTCCCTCCCCCTGCGGACGTTTCTGGCTACAAGTGTGGACTTTGTCCTCGTGGCTTCACAGGCGATGGTGCATCATGCTTAGGTATGTAAGGGATATAACAAAACAAAAGAACCTGTTTAGCCTGGGCATAATGTTTTGCCCATTTCTGACCACGTGTCATTCCTATTATTTCTTTGTATGGATTCAAATAAAACAAAGAATCTTATTCTCAAAGGATTGACACGTGGTCTGAAATGGGCAAAACAAACGTCCAATTAGTTAAAGAGGTCTATCGTCATCTTAAAATAATTAATAATAATAATAATAATAATATAAAAACTTATTATTATTATTATTATCATTATTATTAATAGTAGTATATGTAATAGGACTCCATGCTGTCCAATTAAGAAATAATTGGACGAGGAAAATTCCGAGGACTGACAAAATTGGATGAGGCCGTAGGCCGAGTCCAATTTGGCAGTCAGAGGAATTTTTCGAGTCTAATTATTTCTTGATTGGACAGCATGAAATCCCATTACCTATTAATTATATAGCTGCCTAATTAATCCCATATCAACAAGACCTGTCCAATTAAGAAAATAATTGGACAGTTACCTATTTGGGATTAACGAGAAGCTGTATAATTATTATTTAAAGAGGTGTATTTTCATCTTACGGTACCTGACTTACAGAGCAAGGATGGTGATACCCGGTACCCTTTACCTCTGAAAGTGAAATCCTGGATTTTGTCCTTAAATATATCCAAAACTAAAATTCAAATTACAGACGTAAATGTACTGTCTGGTTGTATGCTGAACAGCATATTTGTGTTCATAATTAGTCACCATAGGGACAACCAGTATCAACATTTCAAGAGGTCTCGCTCTTAGAGGGAGTGTATTTACCGGTACCCATCACATTAATCAATACATTAGGATCCCTATTGGGAACCCTCCTAATTCCCATGAGTATTTGCTGTGGTGCACGTTTGCAACCAAAAAGCAACCATTGTTGTGAATCATCAAAAGTGGTAAATGTATTGCATAAACTTTATTTCTTCTCGTAGATCTTGACGAGTGTGAAGGTAGCAATGGTGGCTGTAGCCAGATCTGTGTCAATACTCCAGGATCGTTCGTTTGTGACTGTAACCATGGATACCGACTGAGCATTGACCAAAAGACATGTAACGGTATGTAAATAGATTTTATACTGATTTTCGTTTAGAGGTTTCCCTCTATACCACCATCACTATCCTTGATGTAGTTTATCATATTTCCCAATCCTTTCCCTCACTCCCCCCCCCCCCTTTTTTTCAAGTACAGTGCGGACACTCAAACTGAGATCACTCTTACAAAGTTAACCAATCACGATGTAGAATAAAAATGTAGCCAATCAGGAGAGAGAAGAAACAGTAGCATATTTAAAATGTATTTCAGCAACTCACAAACTTTTGTTTTTCATAGTTATTGTTAAAGCAAAAAAACTTTTTCAGATGTATAATCCGATTTAGGCTTTCTTGCTTGCTGCTAGACCATTTGCAACAAAGATACCTTGGGGAAGGCTCTGCTGGATGGCAAACAAATTTAAAATGGCTTGATATCTTGAAATCGAAAGTATCTTATAAGGGGAAAAAAGTATTTTGAAAAAGGTTTTGGATATGACATTAGTAATCCAGCAAAAGTTATTAAATAAAGCAAGTCCGCAAATTGGATATTGGTTGAAGTTTTGGCACTCAAGTTATATTTCTTGTTTACACTCGCTATTATGGTTGGTTAATTTCGCAAAATAAAATGTTCCCTCTTCTTAATCTATTCGCTTATTTCCTTGTTTCTGGCAGACGTGGACGAGTGTATTCCTTCAAGCGACTGCATGCATAAATGTAAAAACACCATTGGTAACTACGTATGCGAATGTAATGAAGGCTTCGAAGTTAATCCAAACAACCGAAAGGAATGTGTTCGTAAGTAAAACAAACTGCTTTCTATTACTTTGTACAATGCAATCCTTCTTAAAGAAGTTATTTTGTTAAATAGCACAGATGATGTAAATGAAAGAGCAATCGTCTTTCACTAATGCGACTCGAGTTCTCTGGAACCACTATTATTTTCCATTTATTTATTTGTTTTCATTTATTTATTTTCATTTATTTGTTTTTGTTTATATAGCCAAGATCCCGTGCACAGCTGGCGATCATGACTGCAAACACATTTGCTACATAAAGGACGGACGACAACAATGCGCATGTCGGCAGGGATACAAGTTAATGGATGATCAAAAGACATGTGAAGGTGAGTATCTTGACTGAGATTTAGTTGTGCAAAGGCTTGTTGTGTGGGAGACGTTGACATAGAGGGCCACAAGTTGCAAACGTCAAATGTCACCTTCCAGTTAATAAAGTTGCTTAATGTTTTACCTTTTTAGTAATCTCATAATTAAATCGTTTAATATTATTTATAAAATAATTGGGATACTACGCGCGCTATGATTGGTCGAAAACCATGTTTGATGAGAGTATCAAAACACGCTGTCGTCATTTTTAATCTATCGCGCGCGCTCATT